TTGTAAAAAAGTTAATTTACAACTTAAACAAAAGTTATTCTATTTATATAAAATTAATTTACTATGGTTAATTATTTACTATGCTATAAATTAATTAAATATAAATATATATTTTAATAAAAATACAGTCAAAACTTGATATAATAAATTTGATGTCCAGACCTTCATTATAAGAAAATTCATTATCACTATAATGAATTATTCTGTATAATAATAAATAATTTATTATAATAAAATATTTTCTAATTGGATTAATCAAAATAGTCAATATAATTATATAACTATAAGTTAAAAATTTAATTATATTACTCTTTTTTATTTCTCTTATCCTCACTTTTTTTTAAATTTATTTTTTATTTTATTTCCCTTTTCCCTGATCTTTTTTTATTTTTTTTGTTGATTTAGTTTTTTTTTTGTTTAATTTTCTTTTTTCCATTTTATTTTTAATTTATTTTTTTATTTTTTTATATCTTTTTTTTTATTCTACTCACCTTCTCTCAATTTTTTTCATTTTTTTTTTAATTTAGTTTTTTTTGTTTGTTTTTTCCTTTTTTTCCCTTTCTAGTCTTTTTTATTTTCGTTTTTTATTTTTATTTTTTTTATATTTTTATTTTAAATTTTTTTATTTTTATTATTATTTTTTAATTTTTTTTATATTTAATTTTTTTATTGATTATATTTTTTATTTGATTTCTCCTTTTTTTTCCCTTTTTTTTCTTTTCTCTTCTCTATTTTTTTTTTATTTTTATTTTTAATTTTGATTTTTACTTTTTTTTTACTTTTTTTTATTTATATTTTATATTTTTTTTTAAATTTTATCATTTTTTTTTTATGTTGATTTAGTTATTTTTATAATTTTTTTATTTAATTTCACTTTTTTTCTCCCTGATCTTTTTTACTTTTGTATTTATTTTTATTTTTATTTTTTTTATTTATAATTTCACTTTTCTTTTTACTTTTATTTTATAAATATTAATTAAATATTAATAAAAATTTAGATTAATTAGTTTTAAATATTAAAAGATTTATTTTAATTAAAAATTTATTAAAATAAAAAATTTAGGTATTAAGTTTAATTTTTTATTTTTATTTTTTACTTTTATTTAGTTTTTACATTTTTTTACATATTTTTTTCATTTTATAATTTTATTTTATATATATATTTTTTTTATTTTCCTTCTGGATATTTCATTCTTTTTTTAGTTTTTATATTTTTTATTTTTGTTATTATTTTTTTAGTATTTACTTTTCATTTAGTTTTATTTTTTACTTTTATTTTTTAGAACCAGCCTTCTTTAGATTTTAGAAACTAACTGGTAAATTGAATTTCTTCTTAGGATAGATAGACTTCAGATTTTTCTAAGAATGTTTATTAACTTCTTTCTTCTCTTTTTTAGGACTGACTTTTTTTAGACCTTGAAAATCAATTGGTAAGTTGAATTCCTTCTTTTTGAGATTGGTAGGTTTCTCTAAGAACATTTATTAATATTCTTTTTTATTTTTTTTATAAGATAGATTCTTTTAAAGTAATATCTATCTTTCAAATCTTTATTGTATCAAAATAAAAATTTGTTGTAAATAAATTTGTTAAAAAAAAATTATTTATATATATGTATTTATAAAATTTTTTTTGTACATTATTATATAGCTTTTAACTAGTAAATTTAATATAATAAGATTTTTTAATATAAAAAAAATTTGTATCACACTAAAGATTTATTGTTTTATGAAATTTGTTATATTAAAATTTATTATAAAAAAAGTTGACTGTATACTTAAATGTAGTAAAATAATAAAAATAAGTAAAATAAATTACAGATATTAAAAGAATTATAGGTAAAATAAAATAAACAGAATAAGCAAATTGTTCAGAAAATATAGAAGAAATAAAAGCAACAGAAAAAATAGAAAATATTGTTGATTACTATTTAATGCAATTAGAAGATCATTTAATATAAGATCATTTTTGATTAGTAGATCTCATATAATATTTAAAGTTGTAGTTTTTTCTATTGATAATATTTAATTTTTTGAATTATAATTGATATAATATAATAATATAATTTGAGATAATCATATATTTTATTAATAATTATAAATAATATAATTATTTTGATTAAGCCTAAAAATAATATTATAATTAATTGTAATTGATAACAAATAAACATCATATAATTACAACTCATTATGATATTATTAAAATTAAATTATAATTAGTTATAACTTATAATAAATAAATATGATAAATTATAATTAGTTATAATATCATCTTTAGCTAAAATATAATATTTATTATTAGTTTTTTAATGTTACAAAAAATATAATTTTGATATTTATTTAAATTTTTTAAAACTTTTAAACATTTAAAATGATATTTAAATTTTAAATAGAAATCTAAAATTATAAAAATGTTTAAATACTATTAATAATTAGGAAAACAAAAACTATTATTAAGTTTGAAATGAACTTAACTAAAAAAATTTACACTGATATTTGCTTTATCTAGACTTTTATATAATTATAAAACTAATCAGCATTAACTCAATTATTGAGTGAATAGATATCAAGACACTTTATATTACTTTACATAGTTTTATATAGTTCTTTACTTTGTTCTAAACTAATGATATATTTTATCTAAATAATTAATATTTGAAAAATTAACAAAATTTTATTTTATATAATAAAGTAATATTTCATATTTTATTTCAAAATTATACTAATAGCTTTTAATAAAAAATATATTTATAAAATGTTTTAGTTACTTTTTTAATAATAATATTTTGAAAAATTAACATTCAATTATTATTAAAAAATTTAATTATAAAGTATTGATAAATATAGACTTCTATAACTTATTAATATGCTATAATTTTCTTCAATTAATTAAATAAAATTATACATTTTAAAAAGAAATATATAGGCAGTTAATAATTAAATTATTTAGATATTAGATTTGCATTAATAATCAATAATCAATTCCACTCAGTTTGGAAATAAAATTAGGTAATTGCGTATAAAACAATTATGGGTTTTAAGATTCTAATTATACAAATACTATATATTTATAATTAATTTTATAATTATTATATTAACAATTAGTAATTTACTTTAATAATTTAAAACTTTATTAAAAATGAAGAATTACTTAAATTTATACTAATAGTACTTATAGTTTTATCTTATAAAACTTTTATCTTTATATTTTAGTTTAATTTTTTCTTAATAAATAATAATTTAGATAGAATTTTTATTAAAATTTCTTTAATATAATTAATAGATATAATATTTTTATTATTTATCATTAATATTCAAGCTTTTTTTTTTAATATAAATTAGTTTATTTTTAAAATAATTAAAGATAGAAATATTTTTCTTAATCTCATTAAAAATTATTTAATTAAAATCAAACAAAATTTATAATTATATTTGATTTTTATTTTAATAATTAAAAAATTATTATTGATTCTTATTTTATTTTAAATAATACTTTTAATATATACTTTAATCTGAAATTTTTCTTAAAATCTTTGATTTATTTATATATTCTTTTGAAAATTAAAGTTGATCTTTATTAAATTATTTTTATAGATTTTATCAAAAACATAATTCTTTTTAATTTTTCAAATTAATAAATTTATTTATAAACACATTTTTTATTACAAAAAAAAATGTTCTTTTTTTTGAGTTTTATTTGATTAGTATATAAACTTGTATGAAAATTAAGACATTTAGCAACTATTAAAAAAAAATTTTAATAACATCAATAATTCTTCTAATCATATACAGCTTATTACTTTTATCTATTAAAATTTCTTATATATATAGCTGTTATTGATCTTTTTTAACATAATAATAACTAGTATAATTATTAATCATTTATCTTGTTTTAATTAAGTGATAATGATAATTATATTATTGTAGTTTAACAGAATAATTGGTTGATCTAATAGGAATTATAGAAATTGAATTCATTAATTATAATTATTAGATAGCATTTTTATTTAAAATTTTGTATGTTAATTAAAAAAAAAAAAAAGAAAGTAACTTTTTATTATAATAAAAACATTACAGAAATATTAGTAGTATTTATTTTTTTTTTAACTAATAAGAAAAAAACTTAATTATATGTTTTTTTTTTTAATAAATTCACTTCAAATGAACTAAAAACCAGATTTTTCATCTTATTGTATTTTATTTTTATTAATAATATTAAGAAAATTTCTTTAAAATTAAAATTTTTGCTTTTTTAATTTTATAAATACTGTAGCAAAATCTATCAATGCTATACAAATTATTATTGACAAAATTATATAAATAATGTGATATTAAACATTCGATAGAACAATTCGATCGTCACTTATTATACCTTGTATCACCATAGAACCATTGTTCCCATAACTACGTATAATGAGAGTTGGAAAACCCGCAATTTAATTAAAATGCGCTATATATTTAGTAAACACATATATTGATTAGACGTTTCTTTTTTTCTTGGCGTCCTTTGCATAAATTAGTATTTATATGTGACGTTTCATTAATAGAAAATTTTTTAGTATAAGTATCCAAATTAGATATTACAATTTCCTTACATCTAAGAATTTTTTTCTTGTAAACAATAACACATTTCGTCAAGTAACTAACTAATAAAATTATTCTTTTCCAAAATAAGAGATCATTTGTTAAACAGAAAAAGTTTGTTTTTCAATAAACATCATTTTCTTAATCACTTTTACAGGAAAGATTGTTAGTCAATAATCGGATAATGCCGATAGCTGCATAACATTAGTCATAAATCACATCACATGAAAATACCTGGCGTAATAAATTACTACGCTTTCCATGCGCCGTAAACATGATACTACTAGCATGTTATTTGAAATTCACCAGGGTTTAATTGTCGGAGATTTTCCCCCTTTATAAACTCGTGTTACACATATATATTGAACATCAATTTCTAGTCAGAAATTCGTTCGCTTTTTGTGTGTATCTGGAGGAATATGAGATGCACTTTGCAGGAAAAAAATTCTGCAACACCTATAAGGTGGGACACTACATGCGATGCTCGTACGTCTTACGACAAGCATATACGCGCTCACATTATTTCCCTTACCTTTTTCACCACGATTAAAAATCTTTGATCTGCCACCATTACTTGTGTCGCTATCATGTTTAGCAATTTAAAAATGAAATCTATATGGCGAGAGCTGTATAAAACTTACCCGTGCATGCATTCCATCATTCCATGGTATTCTTTTTTTGTCGGGCGTGTGCAGTAATTTGTTGTCCCCTTTGGTAACCACTTACAAGGTATTTTGTATTGCAGAAAGATACATGAGAAAAAAATGCATTTCCTACGCTTAAATGCGAAAACAAGGAAAGGGTGGTGCGTGCGTTTCGAGTCATTAGTTCATTGATGATCGACACATTATATCACGTGATTCACCAAAATGACAATCCCGGGTGGGCTAAACTAGAATGACTCATGACCCATGTAATCTTTCTGTAACACCAAACCATTCAATATATAAACAATTTGTAAGAACAATGAAAAAAAAAAAAACGTAATTTTATCATCTTCCCAATTTTTCTTTAATAAAAAATTTTTTTTTTTTTTTTTCCTTTTAAAAAAAAAAAAAAGAAAAAAAAAAAAATGTCAAACCTATCTATTGAAACTATCGAAGAGATCCTTAGTTACGTGGATGAAGACGACATAAAAACCTTTCACTCATTATCACTAGTTAATAGAACATGGTGTCAACTCGCGATTCGACATTTATGGAAAAAACCGTTCAGCATTAAAAAAGGTTCACCGAAAAATCTTTACAAGATCATTCCAATCATTTTATCATACCTCGATGAACAACAAACATCCGTCCTTAAAATACAAAAAACAAAAGTTAGAACGAGAAGCTCGAAGAATTATATGACACCGCCATCAATTAATTACCCCTCATATATAAGACAATTAGACTTTAATAAATTATTTTCATTAATAACGGAATGGATAAATAAATCACATAGACCAAAATTTAAAAAAAACTATTTTATTAAGAATAGTGACAAGTTTACTTTTGATTTTTCAATTTTCGAAGAAGATGAAGAATATGAGTTAAATTTTAGTTATGATCGTTTTATTGAACGATGTTGTTTGAAAGATCAAGAAAAGTTGGCCTTTTTCGAATACATTTTTAAGATCATTATAGCGAAAAGTAAGGGGATCGAAAAGCTCTTTGTTGAAATTTATCATGAAGATAATGAAATACCTTACACGATACCCAAAGATTTCTTTGGATATATTTTTAGGTTAAAAGATGTCGCGAGATGTTTTTCGGGATTATCGGAATTCACATGCGAAGGGAATTTTCATAAGGCATCATTAATTAACGAGATTAAAAAGTATTCTCACGAGATTAAAAAATTAAACATTTGTCCTTGGGATAGAAATTATGTTAATGATTTAAAACCAAAGAAAGATTTAAAAGAATTATTAAAAGTACAAAAAAATCTCAAATCATTCTCATTTTCAGTTGATTCGGATATTGAAAATAATATTATAGAGTGTATACAAGGAATGGTGGTGAATACTTTAGAATCTTTTCAAATGCAACTTGGAGAAATTACAAATAATGAATTAAAACATTTAACAAAATGTAAAAATATGAGGAAACTCTCTTTTGATAGAGTTTATTTTGATGAACCAATTAATGCTTTAGGTAAAATCATTTATCCCGAACTTGAGGAATTAATATTTTTTAATTGTGTATTTTTGAATCAATCTATAGATATGTTGAAAGAATTTTTTAAGAAGAATGGAAATAATTTAAAAATTGTTCAATTAAATCAAAATAATTCGGATATTCCTGGTATACTTGATTATATATCAAAATATTGTTTCAATCTAAATGATCTCTGTGTAAATATTGATAATCAATCTGATGTTGATTCACTTTTTAAGATTTTACAATCCAAGAATAATTTAAGATTACTTAACGTTGGGTATTGTAATAATGATAAACCAAAATTTAAGGCTAATGAATTTATGAAAGAATTCACCGAAATTTTTTCCACAACGAAAATTGTAAAGTTGGATATCAGTAATTGGGAAATCTCTCTTGATATCTTTAAGAATTTCTTTGAAAGATCCGGAGAATTCTTAAAAGTTTTTGAGGGTTCTTGTATCGGAGACAAGAAAGAATTGGAAGATGTAATTCAATCAACCTCAGAATTACATAATAGAATTTTGAAAAGTTTTGTGGTCATAGAAAATGGTGAATTCAAAAATGTTAAGATCGTGTGGAAATAAGAAAATAGCTATTTATTATTATTATTATTTATTTATTATTATCACAAAACTTTATATATTCTTACGAGAGAAAAAAAAAAATAAAACTTAAAGTAGCAATATTATAATTATAAATTAAATAATTATTTGTTTTTTAAAATAAAAAATAATTATATTCTTAATTTATTTTGTAAAAATAATGTATAATCTATTATAATAGTTATAATTATAATAAAGAAAATAATTTAATCTTTTTTGATTTTGAGATGGTCGTAAATGAATGTCAATAACCTGTCTTTTTTTTTGCTTTCAATAGATACATGCGTTGCGTTCACAATTAAACACGTGACTTGAGCTGCGGTATGTTTTGTTATAAAAAATTAAACTGCAATAAAAACATCCTTGTTCTTTTCCGAAAAAGTTTGGGAAAATAAACATTAGAGGTTTTCCATTAATGGTGATCCAATGATCTCATTTATTAGTTGAATATTATATTTTCCAATTGGTAGCTCCCGCAGCAGTTGCATCAAAATGAAAAACTCGCGTTTTCCAAATTAATATTCCAAGTTGATTAAAATATATGCATAGTTTAGATCAGTGTTGGGTTTTGGACACATTTTTGATTTTAAATATTTTGGACAATGTTTTGGATATAGATTTCCCAACACTGGTTTAGGCAATTGAGTCGGAGTTCTATCAACATCGACATACAGTATATGGGTTCACATATAATAAAATTTCACCATTTTACTAATTCTGTTTTTCACTCATGGTTCCGATCCTTTCGGTTACGGAATAAATCATTGATTGAGATAAACCATGTACATTTCAAGATGGATTTGCAATTTTTTTTTGATTTTTCAAAGAAATGTGCCGAGGTATTAAAGCGCCACATTCTTTACAAAAGATTAAATACCAAATATGTGTGAATGTCAATAGCCACCAAATTTTTAAAACATCGATTTCTTTCATGCTTCATGGCTTAAATACAAACAATCTTTGCGATTATATTTGACACGTAATTTTTTTTTTTTATTTAAACAATTCATTTCCGCGTTGTTTCATCGATTTATTCATCTTTCTTTTCCAAGAATTCGAATTAAGATGGCTTTGCAAAATGAAGTTATACAAGCAATAGCAGGATTCATTGGAACCGCCCATTTTTCTATTCATGGGCAATTTTTAAAAATATATTATTATTTGACGACATATGATAATTATTAATATGAATTTGATTATATAAATTGAAGGACTTGGTGACAGTAATACCATATGTATCTTTATATTTATACATTTTATCTATATTGGCAAACATTTCGTTAAAAAGAATTCAATCGCGTAGAGCAATTCTCACCACAGCGTTCTCATTTGGTGGTCATTAATGATAAATGTATGGCTTTGGGCTAAAGTCTCTGATGGTGGTAAGTTCTTTTACTTGAAATAACACGTAAAATATACGGTATTCATTTGTCTCAATAAAGGTTAACGCATATGTTTTTTTTACGAACATACATTAGTATTAAATCCTGCTAATACATTAGCGTTAATAGCTGCTGGTAAATATGAACTACTTCAAGGAATTTACTACGTTATTGCACAATTCGCAGATGCATTGGTGGGATCATTGCTCATACAATTAATTCCGATGCAGCTATAACAACTCTTGTTGGTACATGGCACTACCTTTGAAATTATATTTTACAAACAAATAAAATTATTTCTTTTTTTTAAGGGAATGGAACTTCCGTTATTCAAGGATTAGTAATGGAATTGATTACTACTTCTGTATTAACTTTAGCTGTGCTCGTGCTAGCTTTTGAAAAACATGGCGGATTTAATGCAGCTTTTGGAATGGGCTCTTCTTTATTAATTTCCATACTTGTAGGTAAATACCATTATGTTAATTCTTTTTTTTTTTTATTGAAAACCGATTTTTTTTTAGCTGGACCATATACAGGAGCAAGTAAGCGATCTAAACGCGTCAGCAGGTTGAAATCGATCATTTTTGAAGCTATTGACGCGAAACGATCCTTAATTGCATCTTCGTTGTATAATTAGTTTGAATCCAGCAAGGACTTTCTTGCGAAAGGAAAATCTATAGTGATATTTGTATTTATTTCGTCGGACCCGTGTTCGGAAATTTGTTAGCCGTTATATATTATAGCACCTTTAAAAGTCTTTAAGTAAATATAATAGGATTATGACAAGAGAAGAAAAAAAAAACAAAAAAAAATTTTTTTTATTTAGAATAATAATACTACTAAAGGAACTGATGAATATGATGATGATAAACGGCCTAAATCAAATGTCTGATGTAACTTTATAACGACAACTTCTTGTGTATATTGTATAATAAATAATTCATTCCAATTATAGATCATATCGTTTGACGACAATTTTATTACGAAATTATCCTTGATCAATTTTATTGTTGCTTTTTGACTCTTCGATAGGTTTATTGCTATCATCATAATTGCCCTTGCTAACTTGAATTCTATTAAAATGAGGTATTATAGCTGTATCTCGCGGCATATCTCCATGAACTTTTCTCTATTTTGATTTTTTTTAAAAAAAAAAAAGATTTTTTTTTAATGTCAAATGTAAAAATTTTTTTTTTAAAAAAAAATAAATAATATTTTCTTTTTCTTTAAAATTTACCATTCTGTAGGTTTTACCGATTCCAAGCCTAAAAAATAAAAATAAAGAAATATATATATTACAAGATAAATTATAAAATAAAATATTCGATCATTTAACTAAAATGAATTCTAACATACTTTGGTAAACCTCTATTTAATCCTTCTAATAGTACACATGCTTTACATAATTCATTACTTGACATATATCCGCATCTCTTACACACTCCCTGAGTGGGTAATTTTACTTCTTTTTTAACTTCAAATGCTTCTCCTGAATGTATAATATCTTTAAAATAAAAATCATTAAACGTTTAAAATTTATTATATATTCAATTCAAAAAAGCTTTTCTTATCCATTAGTTACCAATAATAGCGCTAGGTCTGATAACTTCTAAATCCTTTAAAAATGTCCTAGCATGACCTCTGTATGCATTAGGTGAATATATACATTCTGTTGAAAAATAATCAAGTTTCTTAAAATACGCGTACCTAAAAACAGCAAATAGAATTTTAACATACTTCGAAATCGAAAAATGAAATAAAATTAGGGCTCAAATAAATCATTCACATGACGATTTCTTTCTCATAAGTGTATTTAAAAGGTTTGGATCGTCGTACACATCCATCCCCAGTCGTACATATCTCTGTACACCTTTGAAGTCTTGCTATATCTCCTCTCAAAACTAATCAAGAGAATATAAATTAATATCAACCATGTAGATATATAGTTTTAATCCTTATATTATTTTTTTAAAAAAAGTAGCAAACGTACTATTCATTAAAACTGTTTCGGCAATATCATCGGCATTATGTCCTGTTACGATATGGTCCACATCAAGCATAACAGCTCCTCTATCTAATGCTTGACGTCTAAATACACCACAAAAAGTACCTTAATTCAAATAAAAAAAAATAGCATTAATTTATTTCAAGAATAAGATAAAAAAAATTTTAAATGTTAATTCCTACAATTATTTTTCAATCCAACTTCCTTTACAATTTGATCCATACTCCATCCATATAATTCGCTATAAGAAACAATTTTTAGAGGTAATTCGTATTGCTGTTGATTCCTCTTCACTGTCTTTTATTATTAATTTATTTTAAAATAAAAAATATAAAACATCAACGTTTTATTGGTATTTTAGTTGATTTATTAAGTTTATACCTCTAATGAATCATCCCTATAACCAGTTATCCCTTCATCAATTGATAAAAGAAACATCTCTAATCCATATTGATATCTTTCATTTAAAAGTTTCATAACATGAGCCAATACAGTCGAATCTTGAATACAAAATCAATAAATTTTCTTGAAAAAAGATAAATAAATAAAAATAAACAAAAAAAAAAGGAGTGAATCATAATCATACCTTTTCCTCCAGAAGCCGCAATGGCAACTTTATCATTTTTTTTAAATAGTTTATTATCTATAATAGTATTATGTATTTCCGTTTCAAATACATAATAAAAACATTCCCTACAAACTTTTTGTCCTGTTTTAGGTCTTTTTACAGCCGCGCGTTCTTTATTACATATAACACAATGTCGGACCATATTGAAAAAATGAAATTGAAAATTATTTAAAATTGTAGAGGAATTGACGTGTAACGTATTTAATATCTTGGAGATTGCAAATCCGATTTGCGCAAAATCAAAGTCATTTATACCCGGAAAATCATCCGTCAACATGAAACCACCTCAAAAATAAGTATAAAGCGAAAATAAAAACAAAAGTTCCAATGTTGATTTTGTAGTGTAAACGAGCGACTTTTTGAGATGATTAAAAAGTCGTGATATTGTGAATATAAAAAAAAATAATATATTCACAGGATTCATACTTGTTTTTTTATCAACAATGATGATTATATGACGTGTATTTCACAGTGTCATAAATTTTGATCAAAGACGAAATGTTTTTTGATTTTCGCAGTGTTGATCTTTGTTGGCGCCAAAAATACTGTAGCAACGTTATACATGCAATGCAATACGTAATCTTGTTAAACATTCTATTGATGATATTCTAAGAGGTATATAAACAAAGCAGAATCAACCAAAAAAAAACTCGACGTTGTTTATTTGTTTCTCACTTTCGTATTAAATTTTATTTTTGTATTTTACTTGCTTGATTTGGTATGTATTATTTGTCTTAAAAAATCAAAAATATATTGCTGCGGATTATAATAAATTTTTTAAAATTCTTGACGTATTTTAGAAAATTCATTTAGATAAATTTTCCCTTGATCGTATTATCATGTCAATTCACTTGTTTAAATTTTAATATAAAACCGTGAGTTATCATAGAATCTCATCAGGTATGTGTCGAATTTCATATTTATTTTTACTCTTGGTGTAATTTAACTGATGATTAATGCTTTATTTAGGTCATAGATTATTAGATAAATCACGGTTTGCATTTGATTGTAGATTATATAACAAAGGTTTCTAAATTTTATACTGCGTTGAGCTTTATTATTTAATTTTATAATAGATTATAAAATAAAATTTAATTAATTAATTATTTGTTTATTTATTTATTATTTCCTCCCGGTAATAAAAATTTTAATTTCACATCAACTCAGATTTATTTTACAAAAACAATTTGACTAATTTTTTTCCACCTTTCTGAGATTGGCTTGTTAGTGATAGACTGGTACTAGAAACTTGGTAGAGTATTATAATTATTATGGATACCTTGAACATATATAAAAGCACCGAGAGTGTTGAAATTTATGACACGGTAGACTCTTTGGATACATGTGTTGCGGCCGATTATTCACTTGTTGAACAAACAATTGAAGTTGAAATGAGTTTGGAAGCTTTGAGTAGTATATTAACAAATAATGAAGAGTGGCAAGTGAATGGAACTGTTCCCTTCATGATAAGTAGTCATGCGTTAGAGATGCTTTTACATTATTTACCTACTCTAGAAGATTCTGCCAAAAAACAGCTCATAGAACGTTTAAAGTGTTTTGCGGAATATTCTGATATGAATAAATGGGTGATGTTTAAAGCGAATACCACTAGTAGACTTTTGAAAGGCATTATCTGGAAATCATGGCAAAGTAATGATGTTGCAGAATTAACTATGAGACTTTTGGAAATCATTTGTTCCTACTCCGTGAAAGTTTCCGATGTGAAGTTAATATTGAATATGATTTGTAACAAATATGAAGGAGATATACCTTACCAAGGAGATTCGGCTTGGTATCAAGGTGCATTGGTGAAATTATTATATTCAATTTCACAAAAACAGAGCACATTAAATTTCTTTTATCTGAAAGGAATCGATTCAGGAATAGAGTTATCACCGATAGAAAAATTTCCAACAAATGGTTATTCCTTGTTCACTTGGATTAAGTTGGATGCGGCACCATCACCAAAAGAACATACCGGTTTTGGGAATTTTGCTCCGAGACTTTTTTCTTTCTTTACAGAAAATGGCGATGGGATAGAAGCTTATTTCGAGAACAATGAACTTTGCTTCTCCTGTAAAAAAGGACGGGTTGTCTCTACCGCCGTTATGAATAATTTAAAGTTCACTCAAAAAAGATGGTATTTTATAGTTATAACTCATAGCACTTCAAAACGCGGATGGACTTCAACTCCAGCAGAAATAAGTGTGGTCGTTGATGGTAATATTACATTCAAGTCTCGTTTAGAATATCCGACCGAGTTTTATTCACGTTCGTTCAAATATTGCGCAATTGGTGCATCCGTGTTTGTAAATTCCTCAAATTCTGACGATGAAACTACGCACATGAATGCTTCGATGTCAACGAGTAGGTTTTATAATTGTTTACGTGGACAAATTACAACTTTATACATGATAGCCGACGTTCTTACAAAGGAGCAAATTAATGATCTTTATGTTCTCGGGCCGAATCATGCTTCTCAATTTCATCCTTATCAAGCAAACAAAACATTATTGAAAAGTAACCTATTTGATGGAATTACGTTTTACCAAAAGATCCTTTTCATCTTTCATGTGAAAGCGTCAGAAGATAAAAAATGTTTTAATTTAGCTCCTCGTGCTTCATCATCTCAAGAGCCAATTGCAGCTACTTTACTTGGCATAGAAAAATGCTCAACTCTTAGTCTTCAAAATGCAATACATTGCCTAGGTGATGTTGAAATTCTTTTCCCAATGATTATGAGATTTGATGACTTGGATTCAGTAAATTTGCAAGCACCATTTGGGTCACAAGATGATTTCTTCGATTCCGAAGGACCATGCAAGTCTTTCTTTGCTCTTTTATCGTCGTTGCTTCAAAATAATCTAAGGAGTCAGTCTCATGTTTTCAAATCCCGTGGGATTAAGGTCATTAGTCTCTTACTTCAACAAGTAGGCCCTCGACATTTTTCAATATCAGCCTTCAAAAGTATGATGGCATTAGCAGGCACCTTATCATCTAATGAGGCGCTTTCGCGTGAAGTTTATTGGAATCTTCTTTTTGAATTTCGATTATGGATGTATACTTCTATTGAAATTCAAGACTATTGTATTGATTTTTTGAAAAGTTTTGTTGATGCAAGGAAACAAATGTGTAGAAAATTGTTTGGCATTCAATTTTTCTTGGATGTTTTACAAAATATCTATTGGTATAAACAAGGAGAATATTCTGCTTCGCATAGGCATACAACAGCAGGAGTTACAAGACCTAAGCCATCACA